CCACCTGCCACGACCCACGAGCCGCCAGCCGGGGTAGTCGAGGCCGAGGCCAAGGTCCAGGCCCAGGCCCAGGCCAGGTGCGCGGGCAGGTACGGCCCCGCTGCACACACCTCACCAACACGGTCGAGGCACCTGGACCTTGGAATGAGCCGTTCGGTGGCAGCCAGTTAGGCAACCTGCTTTTTTCCGGCCCCCTCCCTCCCACGGGTCGAGACACGGATTTGTGTATAATCTATCCTTTTGGGAAGGTTTGACGCACACAAAAAATCGTGCTTTCATCTATCCTTTTTAGCAAACAGAGAAAATTGTGACCAGTCACAGGTATATTCCTGGGGGCTGTCACTCAAGTGGTTTAGATAAAAATCCTCACGTTCCTGGACATTAGCCATGTAGTAGCAGCTCTGGCTCAGGAGAGAGTTGTACTATACACAAGTTATTCTGTAACTGCCTGTTACAAACTTTTTTATGTATCCCTGGTAGTGGGCAGCTAGAGCATATTCTTAAAATTATGTATTTTTTAAACAGATGCTCATTTAGACCTCTGTGGAACTGTGCTGAATTACATCAGCTGAGACACTGTCTCCGATTCCAAGTTTTCTGAAACCAGAATTTTGCACTGCGTGTGCCAAGCAGTCTGGGTAACAGCACTACGAAGGAGGCATGGTTAAAGTTAGGTCACAAGCAGTGAAACTCATTTGGATAAACTCTTCATGAACAACTTCCATACCACAATGCACAAAGCATCTAGCAGAAAAAAAAATATGCCAGCAACATAACCCACTACCCAGGGGAAAAAAATTAAAAAAAAAAAAAATCATCTAGAGAGCTACAATCATATAAATTCTAATATTGGAAAACCTAAACATTACTCTTTCTGAATTAGAGCCTGAATAGCTAAGATGCTTTTGTGCTTCCCTCATACTCCTTGGCAGCTAAAACAGCCCTGGCACAACTTAGCTGCAGGTTTTTCCAAATGACAGTCCCCATTGGCACTGGCTATACCACCAGCTGCAGCTGAAGATGCTCCACTCTGCCCACCTCTCCATTTATGTGTGCATTTTGGGTCTCTCCCAGAGAAATCAACGCAGGATTTGCTTTGCTGCTAAGGGAATCACAACATCCTTCTTTAGGTAGCATTTATGTCAGTAGCAGAACCAGCACCTCCTATACATTCTTCTTCAGCATGTCTATTTCTAGCACAACTCTAGTAACAGTTAATTACTGAAGGCATTCTGAAATCTTAAAAAATCTATGTTTGAAAAGCACATTATGACCAGCAGATAAATTGGAAACAACAGCAAACTGGTTAAAACGAGTAAATCAAAACAGGTTGCTAGTTGCATAAAAAAAGATTTGTCCATGCTCTGTTGTGCAGGGCCAAACAGTTAATCTTAAAAGTGATTATTTTAAGACTTCCTTTTTATCAGTAACAGGAAAAAAAAAGGATTATTTAAATTAGTGTAATTAAACAAACTCATATTTACATTAGTTCTTAGGCCCGTATTTGCATAATGCGGAAAAGTTCAAGGAATTCCCGGATAATTCCATTAAGAAGCATTCTCTGTTGCCAATCCTTTGCAGAATGAAAATCCTGCTCTGTTTCTGAGAGACAGCCAAAATTTTTCCTCAAGGAGCAATGCATTCATACTGCTCTAGTTTAAAAGAAATGAAATTTTCTAAACTGAGTGTTACTGAGAAAGACCGCAAGAGCTAGAAGGGCACACTAACAATAAGACCAGAGGTCATGTACCTTTCAAACTGTATGTACAGCACTTGAAGGACTACTCCGGATTTTTTGTATATTCCTGCGATGTACAGACCCAAACAGAAAGTCTGATCTTAGTTCATGTCAAGTCTGACAAAGCTTAGCCAAATACTAACAGAGCCAAATTCTCCTTCTCAAACTGAAAGAACAATCTGTTTGTACACTGTAAACCAAGCATTTCCCAACAGTACTTCATGGTCCTGAGTCACTGTGGTTTTGTTTCCTGCTTTTCTTACACCTGTGCAATGTTACTGTCACATTTAAACCACCACAAGGTGCCAGCGCACCAGATGGTGACTGGCAGCAGGCAAGATGACACGTAATCAGCTTCTCCAACATTCTGGAGGGCCAAGTCCTCTCTGAAGTGGGTTTTTCTTAGGAAATGCAGTGAAGCTGTAGCTAATTACATCAAAGCTAGCATGATTTGTAATATCGTGTGTTACTTATCTCAAAGTCAGAAGAACCCTCTCTCTTTACTGTCATTCCGACCAATTGAAATAAACCTATTTGAAAATAGCCGTCATTATAATTCAGTCATTTGGCAGGTAAAAGTAGACACACCTATCCCTTGTATTAGCATTTGCACCCTTTTCCTCTCAACTCTTAGTTGGATTAACTACTTAAATAGGATTAAAAATTATATTCTGTAACTAAACACCCTTGAATGAAATGACACACAGCAATGGATATTTCTAGGGGCAGTATCTAGGTAGATACGCAAACACATTGGATTGACACCTTTTTTTTTTCCCCTCCACATATTTTCCCTAAGTAATTCTCTTCACTGTGGTAAGTAAATTCCCAGCAGTTCTGTTTGTTCATTTTTAACTTGGCCAGGCAGACTCAAACACTCACAGCCACTACATTTTAACTTCCAGAGCCTCACAGTCAAATAAATTACAGATTAATAGCATGCTAAGACAGATACACCATTTTCAATACTGCCAGCTTGGGAACCTTGCAGTTCTCCTCAGTTCTGTGCTCTTGCAAATACTGAAAGGGAATTCAGGGATTAGAGCTCTAGGAACACAGTCAAAGGGTACTGTGAAGACTGAAAACCACAGAAGCCAAATGAAAAACATACTGTTTGACTTAAAAATCTGAACATAAAAGAAGCCTGAGCCTGATCAATCTGCAGATCTTGACTCATTTTTGAAAGCTTGGGTTCACAGTACAGCACTAGAAATATATCCTTATGTATGACAGGAGAAAAGTTTTTGAAGTTACAGAATTAGAAGGAATCTTTCCTTTAGGGCACATCGGCCAAAATACCTCATATTTTACAGCAAAACATTCAAAAGGAAAAGTGGGATCTCAAGTTGTACAAAAGAGTTTGAGTTCGTAATTTTAACAGTTTAATAGTGAATTACAAGTGCTAGGGGCATGATATGGACCTCAAAGTACAACAGGTATAATGGCATTGCTACGGTAAATCAGTCATAACTCACTTCTTTTCTGGGGCTGCACTGTCAGTACCATTTGTGTATTGTTTAGTATCCTGAGAAGCTTGGCTCATGCAAAAGGTGAGCATTATGCAATAGATTTCACCCAGCAAGAGGTATTACTCGTTCTACAACCCTCCACTAGCCAGTTCATTAGCTCACTCTCTGTGAAACTGTAAAATACCCTGTTTCTGCTAAGAAATGTGATCTGTTTGCTCCTTAGGACGAAATATTGGCTAAGTGAGTATCTTTAAAAACAAAATCTCTATAATATAATCAGATTAAAATCTTCGCTGCTTACATTTTCAAGTACTAATATATAGTGATATTTAAGGATCTTCAATCACAACAAGAATAAGAGTTCTCTTTAATGGAGATAAGCAGTTGAAATTATCTTCAGTTCATAGCTGCTCATTAGAAAACTAAGCTTAATAAAATTCCGCTGACATTTTAGAAATATTATCTGTCCCCACCTTGTTAGTGTAGGGTCAAGACTATTTAGATCATACCTCTAGTGTCAAAGCTTAAAGCTGTTTTGAGTCTGAAGTTTTGGCCTAGGGGTATCTCTAATTTTCAGATGGCAAACAGGCTTCTAACTTACAAATCCAGTAGCTGTTGGGCTACAGCTTTGGACAGTATGAAGTGAGGTAGTGCCCAGAGAGCTGAGCCAGCCTATAACAGCTGTGGGTCATGACTCAAAGTACCCAAGATAGGTGTGCAGAGAGATAGGAAGTAATAAACTTTCTTAAGAGAGAGCAGTATTCACCATGAAGACAAATACTGCTCATGTTGCCTTGCATTGCTCAAATAATCTTTACCAGAAGAATCACCTTTTGAAAAACATGTGGGTCTTTTGCAATTTTGAAAAAAAAAATAGGTTTTTTTTAAAAAGCAAAAAGACACTACACATTCTTAACACTAAAACTTCATTTTGTAAGAAAAGAGAAGTTCGGAGTTCTTTTTCAAGGTAGCCTTATTTTGAACTGTGGCATTATAAAAAAGAATTTTTACATTTACGAATTCAAAGTGAAACATTTCAGCTATTCTCCCCAAGTCTTGCA